GAGAGAGAGAGAGAGAGAGAGAGAGAGAGAGAGAGAGAGAGAGAGAGAGAGAGAGAGAGAGAGACCCGGACCCAAAACAGAACTCAGAGAGAGAGAATCCAGATTTGATCGCGTATCCGGTCTCTATTCCGGTCTCTATTCCGGTCTCTATTACGACCGCGTATCCGGTCACCAATATAGCTGTGGTGTCACCTCTATTACGACCGCGTATCCGATCTCTATTCCGGTCTCTATTAATTTAATTCCATATAGCCATGTCCACAATATGACCATAGCTCCGCTATTGTAGCCATGTAAACATGGATTTTTTTATTTTTATTTTGTATTTTTATTTTTTTAAGTCGATCTTTAAGCCACTTGTTCCTTTGTCGGTTCGGATAGAACTGGGCCTCTGACCTTTCAGGAGCAGGCCGGAACGAAACGACAGCCGCCGATCAGTCAGATTTATCAACGGCAGCCGCCGATCGGTCAGATCAGTCCGACCTTGTCAGGCCCGGCCTGCTAAAAGTTTGGGAATAGGCTAAAACTTGTGGAAACAAAACGCCAAAGGTACTAGTGGTTTAAAAGAGTCACAATGACGAAGTTGCCTCCATTGTGAGAAAGAGTCTGATTTCGATCGAATGAAGCTCACACAGAAACAACACCGACACTGAAACTGCACCTACACATGCATCTTGCAAGAGAAACAAAGGCAAACTCACCTCTGTGGCCAACGCATATCCAATCTCAATTCAATCAACACAGGCATAGCCGAATGGCATCGCCGTACTGTCCAGGTGTGGTGCTGGAAAGGCAACAACACGACTGCTCGCAAAGCCCTTCGGCACCTCGTTCGCCGAACGTAGTTCATCACAACAACTGCAAACAGACTACTCGACCATTCACATCCACATTTCTTTTTTTTCGTCGCCATGCCTATTTCAGGCTATTTGCAAACAAGTCCCTCTCTGGACACAACACAGCAAACTGAAATCGCCATACCCATTCCCAGCAAGTTTCAGTTCATACCCCGCATGCCAGGACAGCTCAAGAATAGTCATAGCCATATCCGAGTGACGTTGCCATGAGCTATTCTAGACACGGATCTCCGAGAAGTCTCAAAGAGACGCTCACCTCAAGGTCAATCATGATCGAATCGATAGCACAGCATTCCCATCCCGACGAGTTTCAGTCGCAATACATCTATATCCTTAGCTAAGTACCATAACCGTGGCCGTACGATAATACCTAAGTAGAGATGGATCTTCAAAGAAGGAAAATGAAAAACTCTTACCTCTAGCCGTACAAAGATGAGCCCATCCCATCTTTGTACGCCTAGAGGTAGAGTTTCTCATTTTCTTTCTTTGAAGATCCATCTCTACTTAGGTATTATTATGGCTACGGTTATAGTACTTAGCTACGTAATTGATAGAAAACTAGCGGACCCCCTCTACATGTAATTCAATTTGCCATGTAGTAGTCCACCCTCCTCGCAGATCTGCTCTCCCCTCTGCGCTTCCTTGTTGCCTCTCTCTCTCTCTCTCTCTCTCTCTCTCTCTCTCTCTCTCTCTCTCTCTCTCTCTCTCTCTCAAAAGAAAAAGAAAAAGAAAAAGAAAAAGGAAAAAGGAAGTTCCTCCCCATGGACCACATTGGCTGGAGGCTGCAAAAACAAAAAGGCACCGCGGCGGCGCTTGGGTAAAACGTGGCGCCGCGCCGGGTTGATGAAGGCTCGGCTTCGATAGCTGCTCCAAGTACTAGTGGTTTTCAACAGGATAACCTCCAATAGCTCACTTGCCCTCCTCAATGGGAATCATCTTTACTGCTGTGCCCGTGGCGTTGGCTTCTGCCAGTTGATCTCCTTAGGACTGCCTGGTTCAGGTTTCCAGCAGGTGTTGCTCCCCACCAATAGCTGAAGCAGCCCGACAGCCAAAGCCTCAATTCTGGTGGTTCTCTCATCACTGCCGGGATAGTAGCCTTGCGAAAGGGTTTGGAAAGATATAAAAAAAAAAGCAACAAACTGTGCAACCCTATTATCTGCCAGATACCCTGTCGTCTAGGGATAACGTCGGTTATCACCAGACGGTCATGCTCTCTTTTTTTCGTCTCTCTCTTTTTTTTTTTTTTTTTTTTTTTTTTTTTTTTTTTTTGTGATCATGTGCAGAGGACCCAGGTTTAGAACAGATCCAGCAACTAGTATAGTTTAAGCTTTGAACGAAGGACGTCCTCTTAAACCACCACTACCTTGCCCATATGTCGGACCGCGGGCCTCTAGTTTCAAATTTGGAGGCCAATCGCCGCCGCTGAAAAATATCACCCGCGGCGCATCGGCAATCGTTTAGGAGTGGGCTATTATAACGACTTCGCATCACAGTGAGAAAGGTAGTGGTGGTGCAAAAGGAATGCAAAAACAAAAAAAAACAAGTTTCAAAAAGTTAAAAAAAAAAAAAAAAGGAAGACTTGCAAGACACAGTCACCAGAGCCTGCAGATTAGAGCAACCAAGCACACAAAATCAGTCAAAAGCGGATTAACAGGTACCAGATATAGCGATGTATGTTTCCATGTTCTAGCGGAAGATTCATTCTCATTTTCCGCACATTTGGTGAGCAGTGGAGAGCGGCAAAACCTGCATATTCAGGCAACTGAGCACACACAATAAATCAAAAGGGAATTAACAGGTACCACATATGTGGCTTCACTCCATTACATGCCACAAAAGACCAAACATATTCTAGCGATGTATGTTTCCATGTTCTAGTGGAAGATTCATTCTCATTTTTTGCACATTTGGTGAGTACGAGTAGCTAAGAACAGTTATAGTTTGAAGAACCACTGGGCCTAGCTCGGTTGGTTAACACGTGCACTGTTGACATAGTATAGACCTGCCTGAGTTCGAATCAGATCAACTCTGGAATTATTTGTGAGTTACTCGAGCCCAAGTTGGGGAAGATTTAACCGGCGAGACGATCTTTGATTGGAACTGCCATTGGTGACACAGTCGATGCTTTTTTTTTGCGGAGTTGTGAACAGCGAATATTGGCAACACACGCACACACGCACACACACACATACAAAAACAAAAGCAACAAACAAAATGAAAAGAACACGCACACACACACACACACACACACAAAAAAAANAAAAAAAAAAAAAAAAAAAAAAAAAAAAAGGAAGAAGAAAGAAACAACGAAAAGCTACCTGCCAACAACGTTGTCACTGAAAGAACAAAAAAGAACGAAAACGAAAGAGGAAAAAAATCAAAAGAACTCCTTATTGAAATTAGGCTTATTCAGGAGAAAAAAATAGCTCAAATAGATGATTCAGAGAGTTATAACAAAACTCTGAAAACGGTAAAGGATTAAAAAAAAAAAAAAAATCTGAAAAGAAAGCCCTGCACATCTCATTCATAATTGGGCAAATCCTATTATTCATCCAAAAGGACCAGCCCCACTTATAACAGCGCAGTTTCCTGGATGTATCTGGCCACAGTTACGACCCGCCACCATACTTTAGAGCCAGAGCTGAGTTGAAAAAGTCCCTCCAGTGAGTGTACCCTTATTCACCAGGCCTTCGCCTTATTTCTCCTCTCCAAAAGAAATCGAAGATAACCCTTTTTTCCTTTTTTTTCCCCCTTGATCAATGATACTCTCCCCTCCCTGAAGTTTCCACTTCGGTTTCTGCCAATCAAAGAGCGAACTAATCCCCTCTCTCTCTCTCTCTCTCTCTCTCTCTCTCTCTCTCTCTCTCTCTCTCTCTCTCTTGATCAAGGATACTCTCCCCTGCCTGAACTCTTTCCAATTCAACTTCATCCAATCAAAGAACTCTCTCTCTCTCTCTCTCTCTCTCTCTCTCTCTCTCTCTCTCTCTCTCCTCCCTCCCTCTCTCTCTCTCTCTCTCTCTCTCTCTCTCTCTCTCTCTCTCTCTCTCTCTCTCTCTCTCTCTCTCTCTCTCTCATGAAGGCTAATAGCTCCAGCTATCTACAAAGCTGATAGACAGATACACCACCTAGTTAACCAGCTAGTTAACCATAGACCTACCTAGTTAACCGCAAACCTGTGTGTCACTTATCAAACCTTATCTGCCTGTACATCTACTTGTTAGCTCCCTCTTCAGAACCTGCGCAAACACACCGATAGGCCGTTAAATTTGCCCCGTTGTTCACACTACACGTCGCCGCCGCTATAAACCCTGATCTCTTCCAGAACCAAAATTTAAACCTCACTTTTCCCGCATCCAGACAAATGCAATGAATCAAAATTGATCGCAAGGAAACCTTACCCCTCCCTCATACAAAATCACTTCCAGGAAACCACACACCTCCCTCGATGTAGCATGGGGCAATTAACCAACCCCTACCCCTACAAAATCACTCCCACGTATGCCAAAAAAAGTGAAGGCTGATAAATGCCCTCCTACCTACCATCCACTTCTACCCATCCCTCCACTTCCATGCCCTCCTCACCTCCCAGACGAGCCCTGCTGCTTATTAGCCAATCAATTTTTCAATCCCGTCCACGACCACTCGCAAATTCTTTCGTAACTTGCCCACATGATGGCCACATCTACCCCTTTCATAAGGCTACACCATTCAGTTCTCAGCATGAGACTTCTCCTGGCTTCGTACATAGTGCGCTCTATCGACTCGAATTCATGCAGCCACCATCAAAGCCGCTGTCCCCCACACAACCGCCTTTTGCTCCTCTGTGAGTTCCTTACAAAGCTCGGCAAACGCGTGCTTGTCCTTAGAAGCAAATTGATCGACAACTTCCTTCAGGTACACCCCCAGGTCAATCTTGTTAATTGGATCACTGGCAGCATCTGGGTCTTCCCTGTAATCTCCATCCTCGAGGTCGTCCTCTGACAGTCCCTCGATCCCTTCGGCGGGTTGGAAAACCGATTTGCCGGTTTCAGCACCTGCGTCAGCTGCACCATCCGTTTCAATGTCTTCGGCATCTTCATTATCTTCTAGCTCATCCTCATCCTCAGCCTCTTCCCACTCCTCCTCCTCTTCCTCGATCATTGCGATACCTGGCCCCTCCTGTGCCCCACTCATGACATCTGCCAGAATGCCCAGAATCTTTGCAGGAAGTGACATGCTCGTCCACTCGACAGGCTTCGACCGCGACCGCGACCGCGTGACCATGCCGCTTCCTTCTGCGCTCCTCAGCATCTGACCCTTGACCTTCACAAGAGCCAACCTAGGATCACACGACGCAAGGATAAGCGCCAGTGCGGTCGAAGATACCTTCATCTGATAGTCCCCTTCGACGAGGTCTTCGTGTTCTACCCAATGCGACAGGACGAAGGGAAGAGCATTCCCATGCCCATCGACAGGTACCGAACTAAGCAGGTCAAGAAATTGACTGACATTCGGGACACTCATGTGGACGAGTCGGGCAAACACGAGGATAAGCTCCGCTTCCAAATTGGGAGTGCTTCCATTCGACATTCGGACAACCAATGCTCTTACGAGATTCTGTACATGGGGGGCCATCAAGCCCGGAAACTGGCGGAGCATCTGGACGAGCAGGCTGCCCACATACAGGGAGCCAGACGCGTCCAGGTCTGGCGACAACAGCCTAGCACAGACATCCAGCAGCCCCTTCAGAGCTGCTTCTGGCCCAGCTGCACTCCACTCTAGGATCGACGGACCTGCCGCCCGCAGGAAGCCTGCCAGACACTCCGCTGCCGACTGCAGTTCACCGTTGTCTTCGCTCTTCATCGCCAGAAATACGACGCCATTGAAACAGGAATCGTGCATGTTGCGCACCATATGCGGGGGTGCCTTGTTCAAGAACATGGTAAGCATGTCCAAGGCACCCTCAATGATCCCCGACGTCTGCTGGTCAGTGTTCGTCGACAGGACGCGTGAAAGTGCAGGCAGTGCATTCACGAGCAGCGATTCGACACACTCGGGAATATCTGCAATGGCCTCGATAACGTCGCTGGCGTCGACGGAGATCAGCGGATCTGTAATGTGAGCGGCCCAGATATTGAGAACGGCGGGTGACACAGAGGGCTCCATGGCCGCTGCCGTTGCGGAATCTGCTTTCACAGCCACAAGCAGAGTCTCCAGGACCAAATGCAGTGTTTCCTCTGTCGCCTGCTGCAGAAGGCTTCCAACCCCATGATAGATGGCAGGCAGACACGGGCGAAGGGTCTCGGGACCGATCTTTGGGCAGAACTGAGAGAGTGCCCTGCAGGCACCAACCATGATTGGCACCGGATTCCCGTGCCCCAAGCCCCGTACAGCTGCCTCAAGGTAAGGAACTACATTGTTTCCAGGGACAGCAGTGGAGAGTCGTGATGCCGCCCACAGCGCTCGCCCGCGGAGGAAAGGGCAAGATGTGCCATCGTTGCCGAGATCCTCGTACAGAAGGCTCTCCAACAGAGCGAGGACAGCGTGGCGTCCAGTGCTGGACCCCTTACTTCCCTTTGGCGGGTCCAGGAGCGCTTCAGACACAGTGCCTATCGCGAGAATGGCAGCCTCCCTCATCTTCCACCACTCAGCATTCCCAGCACTCCTTGCCGCAGCTGCCTCCACAAGCCTCTTCTGGACTGCTAGTTGGATCGCTGAGACTCCTTTGGTGTCGAAAGCAGCGACAACCTCCTCCAGCAGCATGGCCCCAGAGACTCTGCAACTGAAGGTCAGGTCGTCCTCGTCGGAGATGTACTGATTCGGGTCTGTCGACCATGTCTCCACCTGATGCCTCGTCATCTTCATCAATCCAATGGTGTGGTAGACAAGATCACTCACGCTCCCCGCAACTACTTTGCGGAACCGAGGTTGTCCGACAAGCGAGATGAGGAATTCAAACATCTGAATAATCAGCGCTTCAAGACTAAGTTCATCGCCATCGGAGTCGACGAGGTCAACCGGCGATTCGGCGCCCGCCGCTTCGTCATAGACAGCCGCACATCCGACAAACAGCTGCCACAGCGGGTGGAGCACGATTTGCACGTGTGCCGCCGCCAGCTTCGGGAAGTTGACCACCACTTGCATGAGCACCTTCAACACCCACATTTTCAGGCTCCAGTCATCGGCATTCTGGGCCGTCGTTGGACGCGACAAAACAGCGCTGAAGTATTCCATCCAGGACTTGAGCATGGGCGACATCAGCGCCTTTGTCTCGTTCTGAAAAGCACCGCTCATGATGCCCAAGGTGGAGATGCAGCTATGCAGGACCACAAGCGCTAGCCTGTGTACGGAGACTCCGTACACATCTGGAGAAGAGAAGATCTTGAACAGCTCCGGGAAGAGGACGGGCACAAGCGACGGCATTTGTGAGTCGTCTATCTCATCCGCGAACAGCGATAAGCACCGCAACGCGCCATGGAGTCTTTCAACTGACGAGTGGTCGCGGATGCAATGGAGGAGAAATTCCATCAGCCCGGGCCATTCTTCCGGCCAGTCCTTCTGCGCAATCGTTGCAATCACAATCCCCACCGCAGTACGGATCTTTCCCTCGGGATCGCCAAGCGCGTTTGGTAAAAACTCCTTGATGAATGCCTTGTCCTCTGGATGGGCGACAAAGCATTGATTCCCTTGCATGGGCTTCTTGTCACTCTCGGAACTATCAATCTTCCATGCTTCCTTCACAAACTGCTTCAGAACAACAGCCGCCAATTGTCGCACCCCATAGGGGATTTCCGCCGAGAGGACGACCTTCGACAACGCAACTCCAAAGCCAGGTTGTCGTCCAGCTGTCCGAAGGGCCTCCTCCGCGCTGACCCTCGAGGATGCATCTGCGGCAAGTGCTGCTTGCAGACACTGCAGCAACCACGTTTGACCCTCCTCCGACCGCAAATCGACCGCCATCGCTGCCGCTGCCATTGTTCTCCTCGCTTACGCGCTTCCCTGCCAGCCAATGCCCGATCAGACATCACCTGAGATGCTTTGACGAGCTACAAACCCCCCGGTCGTTCTCTGCTGCGGTGAGTGGTAAGTGGTTGAGTTGAGAGCTAAACAGCAGAGCCGCCGTTTCCACATGGCAAGCAGCAATTCATTGGTGACGAGCAAACAGTGGAAACGGAAGAATGCGTGGGAGGTTGAAGAATGAGCAACACTCTAGGCCAGCCATTCAAAAAAGAGACCCATGGAAAGAAAAGGGCCACACTCCATTACACAACGTTTGAAATGTATCTGGTTCTTGCATGTCTCCCGATACATTCAAAATATTGAGTCTGTTTGAATGCACCTGGACACTCGTTCAAGTTGAGAATCTTGAGATAGATTTAGCAAAGCCCAAAGTAACAGCAAGGAAACAGACAGTTGTCTTTTTCGAACGGCTTTTCCTCTACAGCTTCCTGATACGATATAACTTTTGGCCTCACAAATTACTTTGGGCCCAAAATTTCAAAATCCGGGCCTCTTAAGTCAGAGCACTAACGGTTGAATATTCTGAGCGTGCAGCGCTGCACCTTCACTGCCCATGAAAAGGAAAAAAGGAAACAAACAGTCCCTTTTTTTCTTTTTCTTTTTCTTTTTCTTTTTCTTTTTACAAAAAAGTTACAAAACATAGACCCTTTTCTGGGCACAGTCCTCTTTTTTCAAACAGCTTGTCCTGGAAAAACTCTGGCACACGGGTTCACTGCTTCGCTCTTATTTGGACGGAATCTTGGTGCATTTGAGCTCTCTGCTTGGTACATGGACTATCTGGACGTCTGCGTGATTCTGCAACTTGTTTTTCTCTCGCTCATATTCCTTGTATTTTGGTGACGTCGGAGGAAGGTCGGGCCGATGGGAGGGGCGACCAGGGATGGGAGGGCGATGATGGGACGGCGATGAGGGATAGAAGAGCGATGAAGGATGGGAGGGGCGAGCAGGGATGGGAGGGTGATGACGAATGGGAGGGCGATGAAGGATGGGAGGCGATGAAGGATGGGAGGGCGATGACGCCAGACAAAGATGAGCGACATTGGATACTGTGTTGGTGGGGCCTGAGAGCGATGACATCGGCACATGAGTTCACTGCTTTGCTCTTATTTGGATGGAGTATTGGTGCATTTGAGCTCTGTGCTTGGTTTTTTTTTTTTTTTTTTTTTCCCAAGACAACCAGACACTGACACAGCAAACCGGACTGTCCGGGTCCAGATGTCCAGTTTGATGTCCGGGTAACCGGACTGTCCGGGTCCAGATGTCCAGTTTGATGTCCGGGTAACCGGACGTCCGGTTTGATCCAGACACGGGTCCGCTGTCCGGTTGTCCGGTTGTCCGGTTGTCCGGTTGTCCAGTTGTCCGGGCCCGGGGCAACCATGAAAATTCTACACAACATTTTTTTTCCCGGATTTTTTTTTCTTTTCTTTTGGCGCTGGGTCACGCCCGGTCGGGCACCCGGGCGTGTGGCCGGCCATACGTAGGGTGCCCGGGCGCCCGGAAAAACAGCCTAGGGACTCCATTTCTCAACTTATGTGTGTCATCCTTGCACAGGAGCCATGCTACTCTTCTTTCTCTGTAAGGTTTCTATTTTGCCCGGGCGCCCGGAAAAATATCCTGAAGAACAACTCTGGCTCCTTCCGGTTACCATCGTGCTTTCCGTTCTGGTCTGCTGAGGAACACTAAAAACTTAGTCAAAAGCCAAATTGATTGACGTGTTAAACCACCAGTACTTCCTAAAGTTGTGTCCATTAACAAGCCACAATTTTTTTCTTTCAGACAATGGACGTCGCTACACCGACTACTCTCCACATGCAGAAAAGACAAAAAAAAAATGGCAATGTACCTTTTCCATGTTCTAGAGCAGGATTCGGTCTCATTTTGCACATTTGGCAACGAATGGAGCGAGGCGGAATATCTGCGAGGTATTTCTTCCTTTTCTCCCTTTCCCTGCTTCTCTTTATTTCTAGGTCACTTTCATTTTTCGATCGTCCACGGATCCGATTTTAAACTGATCAGATGAGAAAATACTATAATAGCATAATACAATTGATCTATTTTTAGACAAAAAAAGGCCGAGAAAGGTGCCAGTCTTTATTTGTTTTCCCATCCCCAACCATTTCTTCCAAGCAAAGGCGCAGCGATGGAACACACCACCCCAACAACAATACACCTCAGGTGAAAAATCAGCCCCCAAGTCCAACGCTTTCGCACCAACACCAGAACCAGAACACGCATCGACAGAAACACCTGGAATTCAATTCCAAATATTTGAAACCTTCCTTCACTGGGCCAACGTTCCGACAACCTGGCTTTACAAGAGCAATATTCCCCGACTACCGTCTTCACCCAATCTCAACGCCCTGTCATTATCGCTGTACGTAGACTGAAAGTTGCATCAAATACGTCGTCTATAATGACCGGTCGGTCGTCGTATTCTGGTGAAGACGGTAGCTTTTTTATACGTTGATGACAAAGTTACATGGATCACGCAGCACACAGCGAAACACCCAATCTAGCTCTACAAACGTTGTACACGGCCTTTCTCCTGCAACGTTTTCGAGACTCCTCTCCTTATTCTGCCCCATTTTGTCCCACACGTCGTATCGATGAGATATCTGTAGATCGCCATACGATTGACAGCTTAATACCAGTTACAGATCGACGGCAGATGGAGATTCTACACAAGCTCGACTGCATCTCAGTTTAGCGAGAAGCTTTCGAAAACCGGTCTGCACGAGGGCGCTTTCGCACGTGAGAATTCAACTGTCTCTGCGGATACATCTAGATCATGAATACACATCAAAAGACTTCCAAAGTTCGACCTCGAGGTTTGCTCAAAGGGAACGAGTCACAACCTTGTTTTGGATATATGCACTTTCCTCAAAGTGAAACTAACTTGAGCTTTCAAAGAATTTTCCTTGAGATTCTTTCCTGTGCCCACACCAGATTACCCCCCCCCCCCCAAAAAAAAAAGAAGTCTGCAGAAAGCAAGACCTTTCAAAAAAGACCAGATGAACTCTCTTTCTTGTCGTACGTACTCAGCAAATGTGCTGTCCGCATTCAATTTGTCCTCTACTGGATTATAACTGAGAAAAAAACTTCCCTTCCCTGGCCACCTACCCTCCCCTCTGCAGGTTGTTGATAGTAGTTGGGGTCTGTTCTCTGCTCCTCTGTTTACGACCCAGAAAAAGTCTGTACAAATTTCTTTGCCTGGCCGCCTCGTACTACTTCCCGCAGCTTTTCGGCCCTCGAGGGGGGTTCCAGGTATTTGCTCCTCCTCTAGCTTGTTCCAGTGGCTTGCTTCTGTGCTGTTTCCAAGACAGCGTTCATTGCGTCGCGGCCCTGTCCTTTCCCATTCAGGAAATTGCCCGATTCGATTCGTTTAGCGATTAAATCGACGGCAGCATTTGCAGCACTAAAGGGGCCATGAAAGCTCTCCTTGAAGCTAAGCGTATCCATGCTGTAAATCATGCTCATCAGAATGTCCCGGAGGTCTCGCTCGTCCTTCAGTAGGCATTCGAGATAGGCATTCGCACATCTTCTGCTTATCTCATAATTGGTCGGCTCGGGACAGTACTCATCGTCAAGCCACTTGTGCAGTGCCACTCGGAGCCATTCGGATTCGCTAGCCGCTTCTTCGGGAGAAGAACAGGCAGGTACATGGAAATCCTCCTCCGCCGTCTCCCCGGCATCGTTCTCCGCTTCATCCACAATGGTTTCCCCCTCCTGCCCCTCTCTCGAACTACCTGAACGAACCCTTCTGCCGCCGGTATGCCACTGGTTTTGCTGTTGACATTGATTCTTAGCAGCAGACCAGCCATTTGCAGAGGAACAGCCCACAGAGTTACGACTGTTGGCTGCCGTCCTCCTTGTGCGCAAGAACGCCATTGCGGACGACGGCAGTGTCCAGGCCCGGCAACGACAGTGGCAACCAAGGTTGTCTCGCTGACGACGATAAGGAACAGAATGACTAGAACAGTGTGATTCACACGTGGTCATTTTTTGTGACCCTGCGATGCATCGCTGCAAAGTCAACCGACCGGCTACAGATCGCACCACAGCAGCCGCAGCACCGACAGCCGCGGCCGACACCATGTTGTATATCACTCTCTCTATCGACAGACTAATCCTACCGCAGTTGTTGCTGTTTCTGACGGTGGTTAACTCAGTCAATTCAACTGAAAGTTCATTCGCTTTGCGGCGTTTTTTCACAAGTTGAGACAACCAGCATGGCGACGCATTTAGCGCTGAACAACACAGAGTCCGTTGCAATGATCTGCGCTCTCTCAGTGTTGCGTAGCGGAACGTCTGTTCCTATCAACACAGCCTATGTCCACCAGGTGAGATAAACCACCACTACCTCCTGAAAAATCGAGCCAACCCCTGCAGATGGAAGAGAAAGCTGCGCCAACCGGGGGGGAGGGGGGGGGGRGGGGGGGRGGAGGGGGGTTGCCAATTCAATTGACCTCCTGAAGAAAAGGAGGTCAGCCAGCTGGGAACAGCAACAGGCGCGAAAAAGGTACTAGTAGTGGTAATTCCTTTAAACGAACCACCGTTCCCGGACAAAAGAAAGAGGCAGCGGTGACCAGTGACTGTTGCAGATGCCTGTACGCGTTCTCGTAAGTTGAAAAGCTGCTGCAATCTGACTGGTAGGGCTCACTGCACAATGCGTCAACATCACTCTGCGATGGCCTTCTTCCCTTCGACACAACCTTCGCACAATGTTGTTGCTGCAAAGTGCATAAGACAACAGCCATGAGCTACTTCGTTAGAGCATGCGCGGCCTTTCTTTTGGAGGTGCCGTTGTCGGTTTCATCGCCCTTCACAAGAACCTCTTCGCAGACATACCGTGCTTCGTTTCGTGTGAGCCACGCCCTTAACATCAGTGTAGTGTATTCAACATGTGCAGGTAAACAGAGAAGGGAATGTGGGTGTTCGAACTCTTGCCTCGTACATCAACATGTGTAGGTAAAGAACCATGAATGCGCGCTACGTCATGCGCTCACTTCTTCCCATGCAAAAAGATAGGGTAACAGAAAGAAGGAGAAAAGAGTAAACCAAGGTAAGAGAGAAAAAGAACAGAGAGAGAGAGAGAGAGAGCATGAGGGCAAGAAGAAGAAGAAGAAGGGATGTGAGAAATATTCCGAAAGGGAATCAAAGAAGACCCAGAGCAATTGCATGGTTAACAGCTACACATGTTGATAAGCAAGACATGGGTTCAAACCCTGCAGATGCCATGCAGTGGAGCGAGGCCATATGGCCCATGTACGCAATGGAGGGCAAGAAGAAGAAGACCTAGAAAGCCATAGCTCTTCCTAGGAGGTTGTGGGAGAGGGAGGCCATTGTTTCGGACCTTACTCAGGTTAGTGCTGGTACCCTACTCCGTCCTAGAAAGCCAGAGCTCTTCCTAGGAGGTTGTGGAAGAGGGAGGAAGAGACCGGACTGCATCAAGACTCCCAAGGAAATCTCTATCACTAACAAGGTCAGTGGAAAGTGGGAAGGAGAGCTTTCTCATTGCTTGTATCTTTTTTTCCCCAAAAAAAAAAAAAAATCGCCAGCTTT